GGTCATCTAAATTATCCCTGGGAACTGCATGGCATTTCTAGTACGAACATGAGTGAGAGTTGTCTGTGTAATCTTTTTCTCTTTTTTCTCCATATATTTCACAGTAACATCTCATTGCATCTCAAATCTGCTTATCAACTTGAGCAAAGTGGTCAGGGTTTGGGTTAATGTTCAAGTAACTGATAAACCCTGATTTAGTTTAGAAAAAAACAGAAACCTCCAGGTAATCCTTTCATTGTAAAATGTTTGATACCTTTTCTCCTTCTTCATTTGTTTCCTCTTCAAAATCCATTAAGTCCTGAACTATTGTTGTTTTTCTAAGAAACTGGCCCCATGTCCTGTAGGTGTTTAAATCCTGAGGGTTATCTTTGTCTCCTCTAACACCTGCCAACAGAACCATCAGCTCTAGTTTCTAAATCTCTCCAGAACTCAACTCCTTCTCACCTCTATTGCTCCCACTGGAATCCAAGCCACAATCAGCCCTCATCTACCAGAGCACTCCACACTAACAGATCCTAGCCCTGAGTTTCTAGTGGAAATCTGGAATTCTTTTTCTTAAAGAGGGCCTCGAGTTCCCTGCAGATTGAGGCCCCATGAAGCCTGGACTGGGTCCGCCCTGGCCCTGGCCCTGGCCCTGGCCCCTCGTTAGTGTAGCTAGCAGCCCTGAGTCCAACGTCACGCCTCAGCATCTCTGTCACACAGGAGGCAGTGTTCTTCCCCAGCTCAGGCCCCTCCGTGTGACGTTCTCATGCCCAGTCTCAAGGCCCCGCGCTGCCTCTGATGTCACCTCTGGGCGCTCCTGCTCCACTCCACACGGGGCTTTCCAGACCCAGAGAGGCTGTCAGCTCCGCACCAGGAACACCCATCCGACAGGACTACTGAGGCGCCTCCTTCCCAACAGCACCTGCATCTTTCAACACCTGCCCTCAGTTTTCCCCCACAGCAAACCATGGCGTTGTTTTGGTGGTGGTGGTTATGTGCCGTGGAGTCGGTTCCGACCCATAGCGATCCTGTACAGGGTTTCCGAGGCTGTAAATCTTTACGGGAGCAGAAAGCTCCCACAGAACAGCTGGTAGTTTCGAACTGCTCGTAACCACTAGGCTAGCAGAGCTGCTTCGTGGTTAGGTGCCCTCAAGTCTTCTAAGAAGGGTTCCAACCAGAAACCTTTGCGTCAGTAGCTGAGGCCTGAACTCTTGCACTACCCAGGGGCTTCCCACAAATGGCGCCGGGGAGTCCAGGCCCCAAGGGCTGAGCAGCAGCTTCCGTGGCAGCAGACGGCCGGACTTTCCCCTGCGCAGTCGGCGGCGGCGTTCAAACCCAGAGCAAACGCTGCTGCTATGGTGCCATCCAGTCCGTTCCCATTCCCGGCCTCAGCCATCCGCACTAGTGTTCTCTTGGCCCTCATTATTGCTGCCATGGTGGTCGTCCTCATTGGGGGTCTTCCTCTTTCTCCCTGACCCTCCACTTGACCAAGTATGATGTCCTCCTCCAGGCACTGGCGGCCCTCCTGACATGTCCTGGTCACGACTTACTTTCACCTAATTCTCGGTCTGTCCAGCCCCATGAAGATGGAACCGTTCCCATCTTCACTGCCACCTGCCTGGTACTGAGATAGATACTCCAGAGGATTTCATGGCGACGCGGGGACCCACAGGTTCCTCACGTGCCGAAGGGCTGTGCTTCGCGGACCCGCTTGCCCTTGCCCTGGAGCCCCAGCCTGGTGCCCACAGTCGCCAAGCCCAGCGCCAGAGCTGCCCAGGTAGGCGGCAGGCGGCGGCCATGTTGACGGACAAGCTGACAGGCGGCTGGGAGTGCGGAAACTTCTGGCCCTGGAGGATGTGAGGGAGGCTGGGCTTGCTGGGAACACAGGGGGCCGGAAGACGCTGGGATTGTCCGGAAAACCGGGGGCCCTGAGGTGTGTGGACTGCACGAGGCTTCCTGGGAACACAGGACTCGCAGGGCATTCTGGAAATACGGGCCTGCGAGGCTTGCCGGGAACATAGGGACACAAGGTCTGTGGACTTGCAGGGCATGCTGGGCACATAGGGACCACCAGATGTGAAAGGCTCATAGGGCAAGCAGGAGGTGGGGGGGCGAGGCGCACAGCGCTTGCCAGCTACACCGAGCCACTTGGCATTCGAAGGCATGCGGGGCATGTCGGAACATGAAAGATGGACGCGTGTCTCGCAGGGCATGCTGGGCATATAGAGCGCGCAGGCCTTGTAGGAAACACGAGATCCACTAAGCCTGCAAAGCTCACTAGACAAGCTGAGGGCACGAGGCGCTCAGGGCTTGCTGGGAACACAGGGCCACGCGGCACGTGGGGCGCGCAGGGCTTGCTGGGAAGGCAAGTCGAGCGAGCCGCGCCCTGAGGCGGTGAGGAGGCACTGTGGAGGCTCAGAGGCGGACGCTACAGAGCGTCGTGAAGGCCACAGGGGCCAGAAACGCCTGTGTTAGGGAGCGGCTGCCACCCACTCCGCCCTCCTGGGGGTTGGCATCAGCGCTTTCCCGGTGAAAGGGTGCACAGTGCGTCTTGTCCTGACACAAAGCCCTCTACTCCGTCAAGGCCTCAGAGGACACGGTGGGCCTGCGGCCGGCCTTCTGGTCACGCGGATCGGCTTCCGGGGGTCTAGAAGGGCCCCCAAGGCCAGTGTTTCCAGCGGTGTCTAGGAGGCCGCAGCAGTGGGAACGTGGCCTCCGCCAGCCTGGCCAGCGGGGCACGGGCAGGCCTGAGGGGCACCCAGAGGTGCAGCCCACGCGGCAGGGCTCGGCCCGGGGGTGGGTGGGAACCCAAACAACAGCACTCTGGAAGGTTCCAGAAGCTCAGTGCTCAGCCCGTTCCTGATGGTGGCGCGGCTCTGAAGGACGGCTGTGGGCCGCAGAGTCCGCCACGCCCGGCTTGTATTCCTATCTATTTTAATCTGCCGCATTTACCAACACAAATTCCAAACCTTTTGTGTTTTGTTTTTTTAAAGCCTGAGTAGTAATGACGCATTCTTGCCTGTTTGTGGCTAGGTCAGTATTTGTTCCGCAAACTCCCTGATCCACGAGTCACGGAGGACTGAGACACCAGACCAGGAGGAAGCCGACCGCTGACTGGGATAGCGTGGGGATCCGGAATTTCAGTTGCGTCCGTAAGAGATTTAAAGGAAAAATGAACTAGAAAGTCACTTTAGTGGGAAGTGTTGTTGAGGAATCAGAATAGTGAATTACAATGTTTCACCCATGTTTTTGTCCTGGTTTCCTTAAAATGTGCACAGCTGTCTTTCTGGACTCCAGCTGGAAGTCATGCTTTGCTGTATACTCCTGCTAGTTCATTAGGGATGTCTTCTGCCAAAAAAAAGCAAGATGAAGTCAAGTTTTGGCAAAATTGAAGTCTGTTGTTTATGCCTTGGAACTTTCTACGGGATCTCCCTGAGGGCCCCCCTCCTGCCAACATATCAAGCTTTTACATAGGAGAGGGAACAGAAAAGCAGAAAGAAAGAATAGTTTTATTTTTAATAGTGGCCCAAATCATTAACTCCTTGTGTGAATTGGTGTTAACCACTCCGTGAGTCCTTCCATTTTTGAAAGAACAAAATGGTTCTCTAATGAGTGTTTCAAACCCAGTGGTTCTTAAGGGAGAAGCGTGTGGGAGCCAAAGGGTATATTGCCATCATTCCTCAGACGGGCCCACAAAGGCATCTGATTCCTGGGATCAGATGTGATTACTTGTCTTAAAGAGAGAAAATATATTGGTGTTCAAACGTTTAAAGTAGCTAAGTCTGTTACTTTTCCCTAATGTATTTGTGCACACGGCAGAACTTGACCTTAAATGGAATGCTTTGCCTTCAGTTTTCTGTTTTATTTTCTGAATATGCAATATAGACTTCAAAGATAAGTCCTATGAATTATCAACTGTAAAATGTGCCCCAAATAGGAATTCTAATGCCAGTAGAAAAGGAAATATGTTATAGTTCAAGGATCTCAGTAACCATTTTCTTTCGTGTAACATATATGCTTCAACTTTGAAGTACTTCTCAGAGCTAATCTCAAACATTAGAAGACCTTGTTATATGCACTTTAATATTTTGAAAATTATTGTTGTCCTGGGAATTACTTTGTGTTTCTGAGTACAAAATGAACCTGAAAAATAATGAGGAACTTTACCGAATGTGAGTCCAACTTTCAGCAACACTAGGACAGAGTAAACTGCTCCTTAGGGTTTTCAAGCCTAACTCTTTACTAAAGTAAAGGGGCCACATCTTCCGTTAGTGGAGTGGGTTTCAACCACCAGCCTTTCAATTGGTAGCCAAGTGTTGAACCACTGTGCCACCAGAGTTCCTGTGCCAGGAACCTTAAGAGGAATTCATTAAATAAACACAGTATGGTAGAAACGTATCATATCCAGTTACTAAAGCAGAGTACTTTGGTTTGTGACCTATTCTTTGTTTCTCTCCACCTCATGATGGATAGATACTCTGATAGATGAGTCAGTTCATCTCACTGAGGGCTTCCCTGTCTTTTGCTGACCCTCCACTTTACCAACCAAATTGCCCTTCTCTAACAATTGGTCTTTTCGGATGACATTCCAAAGTAGTCTCACCCTTCTTGCTGAGGGAAGGAGGGGATTATAAAAATGAAACAAAACAGTGTATTCTAGTTAAATGTTTTCTAAGATTGATTTGTTCATTGCTTTGTACGGCCATGATATATTCAATATTTATCGCTAACAGCATTATAATAAATAAGTTGCTGTTTTTGTACTGTTTTTTATTCAGATTACTCTATTTGTGAAATAGAGGAGCTGATTTAAAATTCTAGATTATCATTAGAAAATCTCCAAAGTATAATAGTGATATTTGCTAATCTTTTTAGTTATATTAATCTAAAACAATACCTACATTATGTGCTAGGTTGATATTGAAACCCTCCTGGTCAGATAGCCTATCATTTTTTGATGCTCTTGTTTTGTTTTGTTCTTAAAGGTGTGGTTGCTGAGATATTCCATCAACAGAAAAATGAGTAATTCTAGACATCAGTCACTGTTCTTCATCACGCTTCCAGATTTACACAAACTCTGTGCTGTTAGGATGATATTGAATAACACTGTAGCAGACAATGAGATTAGGAGTAAACAAATGAAGATATGCAGGTAAAAATACATTGTATTGTTAAGGCTTTAATTTAAAAAAAAAAAAAATGAACTGATCCCCATGACTCAATTTTCAACCAAACAACAGACAGGTGGAGGTAGTGGTGGTGTGCCGTGAAGTCGGATCTGACTCATTGTGACCCTGTATAGGGTTTCTGGGCTGTAAATCTTTATGGGAGCAGAAAGTCTCACCTTCCTTCTCTAGAACTGCTGACCTTGAGGTTAGCAATCCGACTTGTAACCACTACGCTACCAGAGCTCCTTATGCATTTCTGTAAGGGAAACGTTAACACCAGTGAGGTACACACACTTTAGGAAAATCAATCATTTGAGATCAAAAGGGCAGCATTTACCCAAGAACCAAGCTCAGAAGGGTTAGGAAAGAATAAAGAATTGAAATTGGAAATACAGGGAGGAAGTGGGATGTGTGATGTCACATTGAGGGGATTGTAATTAGTGAGATGAAACAAAAATGAGTATGAATTAAATGTAAAACTGGTCATCAGTTCCATAAACCTTCACCCAATTCACAAAATTTAAAAGCAGTTTTTAAGACATGTAAGAACTATTTTTGGGGCATCTCCTTTAGTGGATTCAGATAGAACAGGAAAAAAATGTGGAACTGAACTCATTTTTAGAAATTCCATACTTACAGAGTTGGTTGAGACACAAGGACTCTCTGAGACAGTGACCATGAGAGACTTTATAAACCTTGAACTGAAATTGTCCCTTGAGGTCACTTATTAGCTAAATAGAAGATTGGATCATAAAATAGAGGCTATCAGCCATGAATAAAGATCTCCTTTTAAAACCATGTATGTGAGTTCAAATGGTCAACAGTTACTCCAAGGCAAAGATAAGAAGGTAAGGAAGCAGGGGAAGTAGAATCAGAATTGTGTATGAAAAATGTAATGAATAGCAACCCCAAAAATGAAATACTTAGGAACAAATTTAGCCAGAGGAACTAAAGACCTATACAAAGAAAACTATAAAACACTACTATAAGAAACAAAAAGAGACCTACAAAAATTAAAGAGTATACCATGCTTGTGCATAGAAAGACTTAACATTGTGAAAATATCAGCACCACTCAAAACAATCTATAGGTAGAAAGCAATCCCAATCCAGGTTCCAACATCGTTCTTTAAAGAGATGGAAAAATTAATCACCAACTTTGTATGGAAAGGAAAGAGACCCTGGGTAAGCAAAGCATTACTAAATAAAAAGAATAAACCAGGAGACCTCTTTCCTATCTCAAAACACTTAGCATTATATCTGTAGATGATGTTGGTTATACCGATGATTTCAGCCACAGTAATCAAAATGGCCTGATACAAGTGCAACGTAGACCAATGCAACAGAATTAAGAACCCAGAAATAAATCCGTCCACCAATGCTCAGTTGATTTTTGACAAACACATTAAATGGGGATGAGATAGTCTCTTCAACAAACGGTGCTGGCAAAACTGGAAATCCATTTGCAGAATGGATTTCACACCCAGATTTCACACCATATATACAAAAAACAAAACTCAATGTGGATTAAAGACTTAGTTGTAAAACCTGAAACTCTAAAGACCATTAATGCAAAAATGGAGAAAAACATGGGGGCTCTTTAAATGTCAAATATACTGACTAACATAACTGACAATACACAGCAAATGAAAGACAAGCTAGATGACTGTGGCCTCCTAAAAATTAGACACTTGTGTGCATCAAAAGATTTCACCAAGAGTAAAAAGAGAACCCACAGTATGGGAAAAATTGTTTGCAAGCACATATCAGATAAGGGACTACTCTGTAAAATTTCTGTAACACTTCAACAAATAATCCACTTCAAAAATGAGCAGAGGATGTGAACAGACACCTCACCAAAGAAGATAATCAGGCAGCCAAGAAACATGAAGTGCTCATAATCATTATCTATTGGAGAAATGCAAGACCTCTTTAAAGTGTTTAAGAGCAAAGATACGAGTTTGAAGACTAAGGTGTTCCTGACCCAAACCATGGTATTTTCATTTGCCTCATTCGTACGAAAGCTGGATGATGAATAAAGTAGACCACAGAAGAATATGCATTTGAATTATGAAATTGGAGAATATTAAAAGTACTATGGACTGCCAGAAGAACAAACAAACCTGAATTTGAAGTACAGTCAGAATGCTTCATAGAAGCCAAGATGACCAGACTCATCTCTATTATTTCAGACATGTTATCCTGAGTGACCAATTCCTGTAGAAAGATGTCATGCTTCATAAAGTAGAGGGTCAGCCAAAAAAGAGGAAGACCCTTAACAAGATGAATTGACACAGTGGTAACAATAGTGGCTCAACGTAGCAATTCTGAGGATGGCATAGGATCAGGCAGTGTTTTGTTCGGTAGTGCATAGGGTTGCTAGGAGTGGGAACTAACGAGATGGCAGCTAACCACAGCAACAAAGCCTGTGACTAAAGTTCTTGGAGAAGAACAAATATGCTATTGCTAGGGGCTACGGGCCAGAGAAGGAAGAAACTTTTGGGGCATTTTCCATTTTCTTATTCTCAATGACAATTTTCTTCTCTCCATGGTATAGTTCTGACCCAAGTGCAATACCCCATCCTCGAGTGCTCCTTTCCTGCTAGGATATAATTTGGTATCGATTGAAAGCTTACTTTTAGACCCTCTTGGAAATACTAAAATTGTTGTGGATGTTGTTGAATCAGTCCTGACTCATAATGACCCCATATACCACAGAATGAAACATTTCATGGTCTTACATCATTTCACAATTATGTTTGAGCCTTGTATTGCAGCCACTGTGTCAACTCAGAAACTCTAAAACTCAAAGGAATGACACCGTAGATGACAGATGATAAGTAGTAAGTTTGATATTTCCAGTTTTAGCTATACCTTCTGAAGCAAATACAAGTTAGATCTTTAAAGACCAATGCAATACATTCTTTATACTTCTTGCCCATTATTGTTATTATTTCTTCCTCTCTTAGAAGGAAGAGAAAAAAAAGCGCTTACCTAAAACACCACCATTCTAACACAGTAACTTATTTTAACATCATTTCTTAAATTCTTTATTTTTACATAGAAGGAAACCTAAATTTGTGTCCTGTTTTAATCTCTTAACATCTGAAACATTTCTCCTGAGCTATACCCTATCTTCATAATTGCCCTTTAATTACAGTCATCATTTTTCCTGAGATCACAAATGCAGTTGTTGTTAGGTGCCGTCGAGTCAGTTCCAACTCATAGTGACCCTGTGTACAACAGAATGAAACCCTGCCTGGCCCTATGCCATCCTCACAACTGTTGCTATGCTTGAGTGCATTGCTGCTGTCATTGAGCAGTTCATCTTGTTGGGGGTCTTCCTCATTTTTATTGATCCTCCACTTTGCCAAGCATTTACTATGCATTTACCATGCTGGCTTCTATGGAGCATCCTAGCTATACTTTTAATACAGATTTGTTTGTTCTTCTGGAAGTCCATGGTACTTTTAATATTCTTCTCTAACACCACAACTCAAGTGCATCAATTCTTCTATGGTCTTCATTATTCATTGTCCAACTTTTCACATGCATATGAGACTATACCATGCTTAGATCAGGAACGCCTTAGTCCTCAAACTGACATCTCTGCTCTTAAGCACTTTAAAGAGGTGTTATGCAGAAGATTTGCCTAATGCAATATGTCATTTGACTTCTTGACTGTTGCTTCCATGAATGTTGATAGTGGATCCAAGCAAAATGAAGTCTCTGGTAGCTTCACCCTTTTTTCCATTTATCATGATGTTATTTATTAGTCCAGTTGTGAGGATTTTTATTTTCTTTCCACTGAGGTGCAATCCATACCAAATGCTGTGTGGTCTTTGATCTTTATCAGTATGTATTTTAAGTCCTTTCAGCAAGCAAGGCTGTATTATCTGCATATTACAGGATGTTAATGAGCCTCTAATCCTGATGCCTCATTTTTTCTTCATGTAATCCAGCTTGTCAGATAATTTTCTCAGCATACAGATTGAATAAGTATGGTGAAAGAATACAACCCTTGTGCAAACCTTTCCTGACTTTAAACCATTCAGTGTCCCCTTGTTCTGTTCAAACAAGTGCCTATTGGTCTATGCACAGATTACTCATGAGTACAATTAAGTGTTCTGGGATACTTGTTCTTTGCAATGTTACCCTTAGTTTCTCCCATAGTTGAAAGCCTTTGTATAGTCAGGAAAGCACAGGTAAACATCTTTCTGAAATTCTCTGCTTTTATCCAAGATCCATCTGACCAGCACTGATAGTCCTAATTCCACATCCTCATCTAAATCTGGCTTGAACCACTGGCAATTCCTTTTTGATGTACTGTTGCTGCTGTTTTTGAATTATGCAATGTTGTTGTTGTTCAGTGCTGTCGAGTGGGTTCAGATTCATCGCAATGTAGTATAGGGTTTCCAAGGAGCAGCTGGTGGTTAAAAGTCTAGTGCTAATCCTACAGCACCACACCAGTAGTTTCATCATACAATACGTGATCATATATATACAAAATTCAGAAACTATCAAAGAGTACAAAGAAAAAGATCACCCAGGATCCCACAAACCAAGGGGTAAACATTTCTAGCATTTTAGCTAGTTCCCTGTCAACTGTTAAAATTTTAAATGAAGGTCCTGTGCTCATAACTGCAATTTTCGCCCACTTTACATTTGCCTGTGTTCGTGAAAATTTTTTATGACTACCATGATTTAAATGATTTTACTCCATTTCATCTCCACAGGGAACTGCTGTTTCGGCACCAAGATATTCTTGCCTCACCTGTGCCTGGAATTTTGCATCAGATTTGGGTGGTGATGGCGGTTAGTATTATTTTAAGATTTTATGGTGAGAAATAATTGGGAGGAATATCAGCAAACACAAATTTAGATGTTAGTTGTAACTCAAATTGAAGATGGTTCATGAGGAGCAGTCACACTGTTGGAGTTTGTTTGATCCATTAACAGACTTTAACTGTGGAATGCCTCATGTTTAAAATTCTTTTTCATGGTTCTCAATATTTAGTTTTCATGCTCATAAATCTAGGCTCAAGTCTATTAATAAAGCATGTTGTAGTATAATTTTTTTTTCAATGTTGTTTGTTATTGTTAGGTGCCATAGAGTCAGTTCCAGCTCATAGCGACCATATGCACAACAGAAACATACACTGCCCAGTCCTGCACCATCCTCACAATAGTTTTTAAAATATATTGTTGTTGTTGTTATTAAGTGCCACCGAATCAGTTCCAACTCAGACCAACCCTGTATAGGGTTTCTGAGAAGTGGCTGGTGAGCTTGAACCACAACCTTGCAGTTCAAACTGAGCTTGCATTGCAGTTCAGCACATTAACCCACAGCGAAACACAGGCTAAATAAATGCCTTTCCTTACATTTTAATATTTATGTTGTTGTTGTT